TTAACTTAATAATTATTTTATTTCCATTCTTGTCACTGGTTCCCTGAGCAAAGTTGTCAAATGATTAAATTTATTTCCCAGTACCATCCTTCAAACATCCTGGTACTTTCACTAAAATTCTGGTGCCAAAGTCAATTGATTTAAATTCTTAGTGTTCATATTATACCTTTCAAGGTTTTAACTCGCACAGGAAATTCCTTAAACTTAACTCTACATCAATTCATTTTATATGTATAAACTAAATGGAAGACCAAGACGTTTTATCGTTCCCTACCATAGCATGTGCTGGAACAAAACATATTGCCACCCTTAAGTGGTTAGAGCAAGATATTCCCTAGTAGACAGAGTCCATCTTACGTTCAAAAATTATTTTCGAGATAAGTGGGTATTGTGGGACCTACATAAACCAAATAGGGACTTTTATGCCGAGTTTCATTTAATTATTCGAATTAATTTAGTTTAATAGATGTAAAATAAAAATATTTTAATACCACATAAAGAGCTACCGTTGACTAGTTTCTTAACTAGTACTAACAGATCGCGTGGCCACGGAATGAAAAATTAAAGCATAAAATTGAATATATAAAATCACTATTACACAATAAGTTCGTGTAAAATCATAAAAAGTAACATTATAGACACATATCTATATATGGTTTTACAGTGGTCGCTAATAATGGTAAAAATGTCCATGTGTGAGTGGGGCAAAAAGTCTATAATAAATTGGGAAACACCGTAATGTCCTTGAGATTGGCATGACTGCTCAGAGCTCATGCTTCTTCAAAGTTTCGTTGTTTTCAACCACTGTATACTGTGTATTTCATGTATACTGTTCGTTGCCTGGTCGACACGCGGTAAATATCACAATATAAGCGAATTGGCGGAAAATTTGCGGTGCGGTTATATAATTCATAGAGACTATTAGCTGGTTTTCAGCATAATTTTATATCATGTTAAGATATTGATTTAGATGCAAATTATTGTTATATCTTATAAGTTATAACCTATCAAGTTAAAGCTGCATCAGATAATTCTGAGAGCTGTATTATTGAGACCTTCAATAATAGTTATTCCATTTGTTCGAGATAAAATCTTCAAAAGAGATTTCTAAGTGGCGTAGTCTTTTGTAATTGTTTGTCTTGATGTTGCACTCAAAATGAAAAAAGGTTTAAATGTTTTGAAATTAAAATGAGAACCATTGAAAATGCATTATTATTGTTCAGGAAATGCAAACAATTAGATAAAATATAGTGCTGAAGAGAAAAGGAGTTTCTATTAAAATACTAAAACTACCAAAGGCTGGATATATCATTCCTCTTACAATTTCAATAAAATGTGATTATTAATTATAAATGTAATTATTAAATTTGTCCAAGCGGATTTAAATACTATATGCCTTTAAGCACAAAACTATACTCATTCAAAAAATCTTTAAAACTAATTATGAATAAATCTTAAAAACAATAATTATGATAGAATAAATCATTGTTCCAATACAGATGTTAACAAATTGCTTTCAAAGAAAAAATTGCTTTTTAAATTTATCATTTACAAATACATGTTTGGTTTCTTATTGTTCCATTCAATTTAGTTTTAAAATCAAACATTATTGTTCAGTAAAGTATTTGATTAATGCTTATTCAAATAAAAACATTTTATGAAGTTTTTAATATTTATTTTTTAAAAAATGGGCACGAGGATGGGATTCCCACGCCTAATTTTGCTAGGGGGAAATCCTGCATTCACCTATATATTGAATGGTTACCATAACAGTTCATAAAATGTATTTATTTAACCCCAGCATTTTTTTAACACCAGAAAAACAGTATTTTATCATTGCAACGCATTTGAAGCCACTGCAAAGTCTATTTCTTTCTGAATTAAATGCCCGCTCAGTAGCAATACCGTTTGAGGTGTTGATCTATGCTAAAGATTGTTTCTTTGAGTTCTATGTGAGCATCTGTGGTGCAAAAGACAATGACAATCCACTGTGTATCTCCATAATAAAAAAGAGAATATGAATAATTTTCGAATAATAGAATAAATAATCATTGTTCAGGTGCAAGAAACTGACATACGGCACAATACAAAACAATAATACTGTACTGAATGTTTAAAAAATTCCCTCTAGAAAGCGCCCGAACGTCTCCCTTTGGACTGATTTAGGCTTATAATTTTGCAAATTCTTCCATTTGAAACGATAGATTTCCTTCAAATGGCGCATGGTGATTCTTCGAGATGCTAGCTACCAAAAGAAAAGTTTTTAAAAGCATGTTAAACAGTTAATTTTCTCACAATTTTAAAATTTCAGGTCAGATCTCTGAGGTCCCCATAAGAGCCCATGTTAAAACAGCAAACTTTACGTCTCGTAACGCCAAAACTGGACGGTGAAATCGATCCAAACTCTACCAGAACATAGATGAACCTCTCATCTTTCGATTAATACAATAAAACAGGCATGTTAAACATAACACGTATCTCGCTCTAACCTCCTTAATATTTTTAGGGCAGTGATTTCTCTGATATCATAGATTTTGTAATAATGGTGTTACATTTCAATTTTTGTATACAAAATATTAAATGAATCTTAAATAGACATCATCAATTAGTACAGCGTGCTTAAAATCTTGGTTATTCAAACGTATAACTTCATTCTAGTACATGGTATTTTCATTAAAATCCTGGTAAAAGTACCAGGATCCTGATCCGTCTGGAAACACTATCATTGAGTTAATAGCAGTTTACTGTCTCAAATACCCTACTACTACTACTATTATATGTATCTATAATATAAAATTCATAAAATACAATTGAACACCTGAAGTAAATGTTGATCTAAGGGCCATTTTTTTCAAATTTCGAGTTTTAATCGGAATTACGGTCTATGGTAAAATGACCAACCGTCCTTCTTTAGGAAGAACAGTCCTTCTTTTGTAGGTTTTGACCTTCCTCGAAAAGCGTCCTCCTTTTCGATATTTTAAAACTAAATTTGTTAATCTCTGAATTAAGAGATGCTGCGCCAAACTGTTACGCGTCTTGTTACGGTACAGTTCGGAAAGATGCGATTAGTGCTGCCAGATCGGCCGAATTCTCGCCGTTTTCAGTAGATTCAGCTTCAGCATTTGAGATTTTTTGACAAGTGGATAATCAAGATTGGATGTAGATACTCCACCGTAAAATTCAATATGAAGGGTATTCCTTGCTCCGAAATTTCGAATATAATGTTAGAAAATTACAAATTGACAACAAATATTAATTTAATAGAAAAAAATACCCAATTAATTAAATAATTAAAAGGGTTGTAAGCATAATTGGTGTGTTTGTTTCAATTAATAAAGTGTTTTATTTATTTACGTTGGACATTTTTCTTAAAAATTGGTCACCTTATCTATGGGTCAAGCCACTTGAAGTATATTTTGGTCCAAGTGTCAAACCTGTGTGTAGTAGTTCAGATCATTGCCAAACAAAATGCATGAGCTGTACGTTCCCTGCAACAAATTATGAATTTTGATCTAACTGCCGTGTGCGCGCAGGCAGCGTTGTGTTTTGAGGTTTTGTTTACCTGATTTTTTTGCGTAAAGTAAGTGTGTCAAATATTCAAAACAAACCCTCTTCATTAAAAAACATTTTTGGCACACATTAGCATGTTAACCGACTATTTAATGGTGTTACAGCTCGTAAGGATGTAGTACGCCGCTTGTAACCAATCAGAAGCTTTCAATTTGTACAACGTGGCCAAATCGAATATGAAATCATGAATACCTTGTCACAGGCGCCTATAAAAGAGGGGGGGTGCAAAATTTATTTGCCCTTATACCATTAAACTTTTTTATTTACATATAACATATTTTACTAGTAAAGAAATAAATACAATTGATTTTATGTTGAACATGGTTGTCAGATGGCTTGGAGAGCTTCTTCCCCAATGTAAAACTGTTCCCCGGATCGTCATTTTCATGCAACAAATTCCCACAATTTAAAATTAACTTTTAAATTAAATTTACACAAATTTTAAATTAAAATTATTTGTGTGTTACCATTAAAGTAAAAGCACACGATATTGCAACACTGTAGTATTCAGCCGACGCAGAATGTCTGCTATTGGTGAGGCCGTGGTAACCAAAGCGAATTATAATCACATTATTTAACACAAGTAGTGCAAACATTATATTTTAAATTTACTCGTCTTCGAAATCTTAATGTGTATCTGCAGCACTCCAATCGTGAACAAACGTAATTTTCTTTGCATCATGGTTCGTACATCTTATCTCTCCTACAAATTTGTATTATGACACCGTGATTGTGATATCATGACTCTCCGTCAGTAAATCGCCTTGAATCTGATAAACGAGTCTGTAATCGATTTCAAAACATCCGAAACTATCGACATTTCACGTTTCGACATACCACGTTTAATTCACTTCTCTACAGTAAAGAGCAACGGGCGTTTTGGGAAAGTCTTATTTTTCCTCTCAATACAAGGTAGAATATTTTGAACAGTGGTAGGTGGGAGATAATTTTAGAAAGGCATGAAATACAGTAACTCTACCGATGCCATTGCTTCTACAGTACCTAATACCCTGTGAAAGAAAATGTAAGTAACTAAACGTTCTTAACAACTTTTACAAGTTCACTGTCAACAGCAAGTTCACTTGCTGACCTTAGTATGAAATGAATTGAAAATTCTAATTTTCCAATTTCAACTAATTTATGTTGATATAAAAAGCATTTAAAATAACTTGAAATAAGAGAATTTTCGGCAATTTGACCTTGTGTATTACCTTGCAGATTCTGAAATTTGAGTTGACGGTTTCATATTTTGAGGATACAGCGCAAAACACGTGTTTGAAGTGAATTGTCCTGTGAAGTTTCTTCGTTCGAGACGTCTGTACAACTGGTAATGTGGTTTTAGAGCAGAAACTAGGCTTTGTATTATCCTAGAATGTTTTACCTAGTTATTTCATGTGAGTGAATTTGTTCTTGTCATAGGAGATAATAAAATGGCTGGAAGCGAACCTATGGAAGATGATTCGTTGTATCCCATTGCAGTGTTGATCGACGAATTGAAGAATGAAGATGTGCAGCTTCGCCTGAATTCAATAAAGAAACTGCCGACCATTGCCCTTGCCTTAGGAGTAGAAAGAACAAGAAGCGAGTTGATTCCCTTTTTGAACGAAACTATTTATGACGAAGACGAAGTATTGTTAGCTCTGGCGGATCAGTTTGGCAAATTTACACCTCTTGTTGGTGGGCCAGAGCATGCTCATTGTCTCCTTCTACCTCTCGAGCAGCTAGCGCAGATAGAAGAAACCATTGTACGCGAGAAAGCTGTTGATTCTCTTTGTGCAATTGCGTCGATTCAAAATTCAGATGATCTGGAAACCCACTTCGTACCATTAGTTCGACGTTTAGCATCTGGTGATTGGTTTACATCACGAACATCAGCTTGTGGCCTGTTTAGTGTTTGTTATGCGCGTTTGAATGTAGTCCTTAAGAAAGAGCTGCGAGCTCATTTTAAAAATCTGTGCCACGATGACACTCCTATGGTTCGGCGAGCTGCAGCTGCTAAACTGGGAGATTTTGCCAAAGTGATGGAAGCAGAAAACCTCAAAACAGATATTATACCGTTGCTCATCAAGTTAGCAACGGATGAACAGGATTCTGTTCGTTTACTAGCAGTCGGGGCATGTGTGAATGTAGCGGCTCTTCTGCCACAAGACGATGTAAAAGAATTTGTAATTCCGACCGTGAGGCAGTGTGTTACAGATGTTTCTTGGAGAGTGCGATACATGGTAGCTGATCGATTTACGGAACTACAAACATCTGTTGGCACGGAAACTGTAATATCAGAGTTGGTTCCTGCTTTCCAGTTATTATTGAAAGATATTGAAGCAGAAGTACGAGCAGTCGCAGCTCACAAAGTACGAGATTTCTGCCAGAATTTGGATGTTAGCCACCAAGAGCAGACCATTATGGAAAATATCCTTCCATGCATCACAGATCTAGTGTCTGATGCAAACCCTCATGTCAAATCGGCTCTGGCTGCTGTTATTATGGGTTTGAGCCCAATTGTGGGAAAAGAAAATACAATTGAACATCTGTTACCCCTCTTTCTGATGCAACTGAAGGATGAATGCCCAGAAGTGAGGCTGAACATCATATCTAATTTGGAGTGTGTAAATGAGGTTATTGGTATTCAGCAACTCTCACAGTCATTATTACCAGCAATAGTTGAACTTGCATCAGATTCCAAATGGAGAGTTCGTTTGGCAATTATTGAATATATGCCATTATTGGCTGCTCAATTAGGAGTACAGTTTTTTGATGAGAAACTTAATACATTATGTATGTCTTGGCTTGTTGACAGTGTTTACAGAATTCGTGAAGCTGCAACCCAAAATATTAAAAAATTAGTGGAGCAGTTTGGCCCTGATTGGGCACAAACTAATGTTCTTCCTGAAGTTATGGAGTTAGCATGTAATAAGAATTATTTGCACAGAATGACCTGTCTATTTTGTATAACTGAATTGGCTGAAGTTTGTGGTACAGGTATGACAATTGACCTTATGCTTCCAACTGTTCTTGAAATGGCCAATGACAAAGTGGCAAATGTTCGATTTAATGTTGCCAAAACTCTTCAAAAAATAGGCCCACCACTAAATCCTGCTTGCATTCAAAGTCTCATTATACCGGTTCTGGAAAAACTCAACAATGATGATGATGTGGATGTAAAATACTTTGCTTCAGAAGCAATTGCTGAAATTGCTGGTTAATTGACAGTTTCTTTTTTTTTTAAAGATTTTTTTTTACTGTTGAAAAGTTATTTTTGTTTTCTTTCTTAAGTTCTTATAAAAATAGTAAAGATATTTTTCTGTATATTTTCCTGCATTAAGGTCTGTCATTTTATGTACATTTATCATTAAAATAATTCTGAATTTGTACTGAGAATATTATAAAATTGATAAACCAAAGTCCTTTAAAAATAGAAGTTGAACATGTTAATGTGTATAGTGTGGTCATTATCTGTGGAGCTGGACTAAGTTGGCCACTTGCTGGAGCCTTGCTGGAGTTGGCCTAAGCTGGAAACTTGCTTCATTTCATTCAGTGAGCCATGATTTGTAGAACTGGTTATTTCAAAACTATCAATGTAGTGTGCATGCTGAATAAGTTTGAAAGAATATGCAGGCTATACCACTGTAATTAATATTGGTTTTTCATAATGGGTACATAAAAAACAAAAACATTTTTTTAAATAATTGATAAGCTTTTTCATTATATGAACTGTTACTGAAGTTGCTAAATAATTTTAAATCTTTATAATGTATTAACGAAACTGACGTAAGAATTACTTTTGTTGCCTTGAAAGGGTTACTGCAAGTTTGCTGTGTTTAATGAAAAATACAGTCTTGTATATGGATGGGAACTGATTTTTCATTATTATTTTTGTACGTGGGTGAATATTATAAAGTTTAATAAAAGATTTGTGCTTCTTACAACATCTTTAGATGTCATGCAACTTTATCAATAAATATCTTGCAACATGCTCTAGAAACAAAATTTAAAAAATAGGTTAATTTTCACAATCTTTGTAGATATATTTTTACCTCATTCTGAAGTATTTTGTATAGCGTTTTCACTATTTAATAAGGATCTCCAATGAATATAAGCTATTCATTCTGTATTAATTACAAAAATGTTCTTTTGACATTTTTTTAAGAAAAATTTGAAATATAAAAATACCCGTAATTTATGGGGAATATGTGAATCTCTTCAATATCAACAAGTACACTAATGCCCCTTTTCGTGTAGTTAATGTTACTTGAACTAGATGTTATCTCAGTTGCATTGCAATAAGTAAAATGTGATGTGCCATACCAACATTTTCCATTGTGTCATAAATGGTTTAGATTATACAATGCTGCTTGTATACAAAGTATGTATGTACATGTTTATTTTCATTTTTCTCTTAGAATTCTTGTGAGCATCAAATCAATGTGATTTGATTAATGTTGCTCTAATTTCAGTTCATAACATCAAACATCAAATACAAATTTAACACAGAGTAGAATTTATTTGATGTATCATTTACATAAAACATTAAATCACACACACAAACTTGCAAGTTAATTTATTGAGAACATGCAGGGTGTTTGACATTGTCGACATTAAAAGGAACCCACATTGAGACAAAACCAAGTGCCATCAATTTAGAACTACAATGAACTACATTGTTTTCATAAGCTTGTGAATTCACCAGAAAACAAATATACAATGCCACATAACAAAAATTGGTACTACTCTATACAATTCATTGTTTTAAACACTCCAACTTTAAATTTAATCAACATACTACAATGAAGTGATGTCAAATTACACCATTAATACTGTTTTGGAAAAGTCCAATCAAGCTCTTTTGAAGATACGGCAGTGATTAACTTTGTTAAGCAAAGCAAATGAACTTACAATTTACATTTAGTTATTAAATTAATTTTTTCTTTCTTTTAAATTTGGTATATTTTCTACAAAATCTGTGGTCATAGTAATTTTGTACATTGACTTAAACTAATTCTCACACACATTATACAGAATGTAAATTTGCAGAACATTGTTCCTAAAATTCTCAGTGCTATAAATGTAAATGATAATGCTGTAAATTCTAATATACAAATTCCCTAGTGGTATAACGATAATATACAACAACAGTATGAAGAATAACAAAGCTAAGTAATATAGAAATGCAATTCAAGATTGGAGGTGAAATTACTCATTAAAATCTGCAAGAGTAGTATACTTTTAAAACACATAATTAAGAGATAAATATCATAAATATCTATAGTCATAGCAACACTCGTGTACATTGGAAAACATCACTGATTGACAAAAAGTTTTTAGTTCATTTCACATTACATTTTCTAACTATACAAGCAAACAAATACCTTTCATAAAATAGTGAAGATCATCTCAGTTAAACTTTTTCACCATTGTCTCACTACATGTTTACGTTATAATCCATAATCAAGCACATTTATCACAAAGCTTTTAGGAGCTAATTGCACATTCAGGTTTTCTACAATTTCATTCATCAACCAGGGACACTGGCTTTTATAAATGGTTACAAATTAATTGACAAAATAGTTAAAAATGTTTGTATATGACCTGAGACTTTTCATTCAACTCAAAGAAATTAATGTCTTCTTTTCGCACCGATTTACAAATTCACTGTATACCTATTTGAAAGCACTCTCTTAAGAGGGTAAATATTAAAAAATTATCTCTCTCAGGTCGCTTCCTACTATAAACTGCTCATATTGTATGTTCAGACTGCACCTAGTGAACACTTAGAGGTAAAACCTTTTCATTAAACATAATACTCGAACCTTGTTAGACATTTCAGTAAAAAATTGACCTAACATGAAAGAAAACATTTTTAAGAAATGACTTCTTTGCATAAATCCATTTCTTAACCTAACTCAAAAATATAAATGCCTCTAAGTGAGACAATATTCGATACCAATTCCAAGTATAAAACTTCATTAATACGTATTTAAATAAATAATAAAAAGTAAACGTAATTTGATTTTAAACTTTACAAAATTATTTAGTTACTTTTTTCTTCCCCAATGCATAAATCTTAGGAATGTTTAGATCCTTAAAAGAGCTATGTGATGAATTCTAATCTTCAAATATTCATTTCTTTGTATAATGTTATTACCAGTTTTTTTTTAATATTTAAAATATTGTTAATTTCATGTAGTCAATGGTAACCTAATTAGCCCCAAAACTATCTTGAGACTGATATGACTACAGAGTCCCACATATGTCAATCTTGTTCTACATTTGCACTTAACTAACACAATAACATTTTATATCATGTTTTTTAAAAATAAACAATAAGAATAACAATTATGAAGTTATCTTCTCAAAGTTCCATTGTACATGCAAAGAATGATGAGGGCAAGATTTATGAGCGTATGATGTTCTTTTTCTACGATATTTTGACCAAAATGTAGAATGATTCCAATAAATAGCCATGGCAAAGAGAGAAGAAAAGAGTGAAAATGCTCTTGAAGCAAATGCAATGGTCATATTACACAATATGTAATAATTAAAATAAATAAAATTAATATTGCTATGAATTAAAAAACAAATTCAGCAGGAAAGAATAGATATAGATCTTTATACTATTATGCTAACATGTCTTCAAATTAAACACTGCTTCAAAAGAATTAATTTGATTCAGGAATTTCTGAGATTTGATGAAATTTTCATCATAAACTGCAAGTTGATTATGAAAATTTCATATACATGTTAAATACCTATCTACATGAAAGGAGTCTGTTAGATTATGATCGCATAAGGATCACTAGTAATGAATATGAGTAATAATTTTGGAAACCCAATTGAAATTAGAAATAATGTGAGAAATGAAACTTCCTCCCTAAAACGTGCAATCATGACTCTTTTCAAATGTCCACAGGAGGTGCAGAATATTTTCTGAACTCTTCCGAAAGAAATTCAGCATTGATACTGCTTGACCACTTAAATGTGATCATTGCTTTATTCACATTAATCTTTGTTATTTTTGTGATGACGCATATATGCTATAAATCATCACATACTACACTTCGGCAAAATAACACCATTCAAAACAGACAAATTACTCAGACACGGTAAGTTTCTTAGTGACTTCTCATCGAATATAATATTAATGCATAATTGTACTGCTTCTGTGAAATAATGTAAGAGTTCCATTCAATGGCAAATTACCCATGTGATAAATATAGACAATTACTTAAACTCTGAATTCCTAGAAAAATGTATTTTAATTCTATACCTCATATTGAATTGAATTAAGAATTAAATGATATTTCCCTTAATTTAACTATGCACCCAAAACATTTTGGACTACAGTCTCACTTCAACTATGAGAAGAATATATTATAAAAGATAATTAAGAGCTATTGAACTATATGTCATCAAGCTTTGCACAAAAAATTAATATTTCTTACCTCTCCAAGATCCTTTTTTTTTTTTTTTTCTTTTTTCTTTCTTTCCAAGTACATACAATTTACACCAATGCTTAACATTTGTTTAATTAAACATTATAATATTTACATTCAATTAATACAAATCAGGATAAGATTGATTTCAAAACAACAAACAAATCTTGAAGTCCACAAAAATTTTAGACTTTGAGAACACCCAGGGTCAAGAATGCAAGTTCTTAGAGAGGAAAACATAAAAGACAGTAAAGAGAAAGAGTTTAATTTTAAGAGAACAAACATATAAAACTATTGCTACTTTGCCATTACAAAGCAACTGTATGAATAAGTACTACATTTGAATTTGGGTAAAAAAGTTGAAATACTCCATAAAGATGACAATGAAAGAATATAGAATATTATCAAACCCATTTCTAACTTTTTTAAAAGTACAATAAAATCACTTTACAATTTTCAATTTTCATTTTCAAATTTTCAATTTTGAAGGTGATGATTTGATTTAATCATTGCTAACAAAACATATGTGTGTTAGTTAAACACACTGGTTAGGTTTAAATGCAGTTTTCTTTAAATGTTATAAAATTCAACTTTTCAAAATCGAGTTCCTCTTGAAGTTCAAATTAAAAGTGTTTACTGTATCTGTAACATTCACTTTTACCAACTGTTCTATTATTCTAATATTATTAATTTTTCCATTTCTTAAAATATTACAAAATAAACTAGGTTTAATTCCAGAATAGAAACGATTTTTTCGGAAAGTGAAATACCAG